AGGGCAGAGCTTGTATGTTACGTCCCCTGACAGACGAGATAAGACAACTATCTCTTTTGCCACTTGCAAAACTGCTTCTGAAACATGAAGGAAACCTCCGGAGCAATTGCAGCATAGTTAAGCTTTGATGTGGGGAGGGTTGGGTCTCAGATGGAATGAAATGTCCTTGAAAATGCAAGAAACCAGGTTTGTCTGATCGAAAGGAGTGTTGTGGATTGCATATGCAGAATCTAGTGTGAAAGTGAAAAGAGTATTGGATTTTTTTTTAAAAAAAACATACAGATTTATCTTTATTCTCTTAAGTTTTCTCAGAAGAATATTGTCCATCATTATGAGAGATGAAAGTGATAATGAGCACATCTTTCGCTAATGAGTAAAATATTTTGGCAAGGCAGGCTAAACGTTACTTAAATTATGGCTAAACATGATTGGATTTTTGTAGTGGTTCTCTAGCTGAAAAGGCAAAATATTTCCCCCAACCTGAACATGGAAAGACGATGCACTGTTCCTTTTTACTCCCTAAGAATGCATTGTATACAACTGATGGTTTATTTTGGGACAATTGTGTGGAATGCATTGCTTTTATCTGTGGGTTGAAAACTCTTGATTGGGAAGTAGACCCTTGCAGAGTTTCCTTCCACATAACTTGTTTCAGATGGGGGAGTCAAACATTTTTTTTTCTTAAATTGCTAAAGTGCCACGTAGCTCTTTCCAGTGAAAAGCAGTACGTGTTCATGTTAGTTATTTTTTGTTCGTTTGGAGAGAGTGAATTACATCTATGTAATTCTCTAGCCATGCAGCAAGGCAGCAGTTTTTATATCACCAAAAGTCTGTGAAATGATGACAAGGTACTTGAACAAAAAGCTACAATGCCTTCTCTTTCTGGATGGCAAACCCCTTGTATGTGGACTGTATTATAGAGCTGAATGATTTGAACTCCTTAAAGTGTCACTGATTTTATTCTCAAGTGGAATCCGTTTTTATATTTTGCAAAGGAAAATTGATGTATGAGGAACGCATAATGCCAAAAAATGTATGTGCAGTACCTGTTAAAACTTTAACCTGTGCTGAACGGTGGTTGGGTTTTTTTTTTAACTTTTTAAATTCCTAATACTTCTGTACAGGAGAATGCTTGAGATGTGCTGATGCGTGCCTGCCGTGTTTTCCTCTTTCCATCCCTTTAGCTCGGTGGAAGGAGGCCTGTCCTCCCTCCAATTACATTGATCTGGAATTTGCCTAGCCTTTCTTGAGAGATAGAAAATTGTCATTCCTTATTGGGAACCCTTTTTCAGTAATGAAGGCCTGGCCACACCAGTGAGAGCTCTCCAATTTGGGGGGGGAGGGATTTGTTAGGATTGTTATGACTGAAAAGACAATTTCCACAAGTACGGTATAATTGCAACAGTATAATTTTGTGGACCCATGCAGACTGGAACCCCGAGAACAGAGGGTTTTAGTGTGCAAGGAAGTATTACAGTATTGTGGATCTTCTGAGATACAGATAATCCTGCCTAATTTCTGCATTGTTCACCTGCTTTTCCTCTACAGTGTAGTTTTTTGAAACACTCTTTTTTTCCCCCTCCATATGATCTGAGGAGAAAAAAGGCAATATACTAGGCGGAATTATATTCTTCAACATGGGGGGATATGCTGAAAATTCCTGTGGTAGCCCAACGTCTTAAAATATGAGAAATGAATTCTGTGTGGCATTTGAGATATTTTTGCACTTGCATTTTTCTTTGGAACTTGTTTCTGAATTTCTGTTTGTAGAAGGACACCATGCTTTCTAGTTATAATGCCTTAACATTGCTAAATGTAAAACATCATCTACACCAGGGGTAGTCAACCTTGTCTCTTTTATGACTCGTGGACTTCAACTCCCAGAATTCCTGAGCCAGCTAAGCTGGCTCAGGAATTCTGGGAGTTGAAGTCCACGAGTCATAAAAGAGACAAGGTTGACTACCCCTGCTCTACACAGTCCTGCTCCCAGATCCCTTTGCTCTGGTTGTGAAAAAGCTTCAGTTCTTAACAATATAAAGGTGTGCAATATTCAGATTATGTGTAACACATGAATTTCCTTTCTAGCAGCCCCTCCAGACATCATCCTGCCAAAATTCAGTGATCAAACAATTTTCCTCTCTCTATCCCAGGGGTGTCAAACTGCTGGCCCGTGGGCCGGACGCGTCATGCGGAAACCATGCTCACCCCATTGCCGGCAATGGCAAAACTCTCCCGATACGTTGTGTGGCGTCATGTGATGTCATGAGTTTGACATGTCTGGTCTATCCACAGAAATTGCCTCCCCACAAAAAAAAAAAGGTTTCAGGAGCCAGATGGACTTCACACTCCTAAGAAAAATATTTTAAGAAACCCTCCAAACCTCTCCAGATTTACAAATCCTGCACTAGCCACTTATGTGAAAACATTCATCCTTGTACTCTTTCCTTTTCTGCTCCCAAAGTTGCACCCAGCTGCCCGTTCCTCCCCCCACTTAAGTACACAACTTTATATTTGAGGTTCAAATGGTTCGTGCTTTCTTTCACAGTGTTTGCTTGCTATATAATACCTGCCAATGGGCTCAAATTGCCATATTTTTCCTATGTTGAGGATAAATCAAAAGATCTGGGGGCTGTTTCCACCAATAAGAGCAGCTGCAATGCTGATAATTTTTAAATTCTTGCTTTTGATGTGAACAGGTAGATCCTGTCCTTTAATTGTCTTAGATTACAGTTACCCTGAATCATTCTGAAAATGGCTCCTTTAGTAGAATCTTGTTCATATGTAGAGCATCTGGTGAATAAATGGATTTCCAAGTATTTCAGTCCCATAGTTTGTTGAATCTGCTTTTCATATAAAACTCTTTGTACCTAGGATTGGTTTTGCCAAACTAGTTTGTTGCTGTGAATGTTCAGGCACACACACACACACCCTTGAAAAGCAGAAACCTTTTTGAAAACACTTGTTTAACTGGAACTCAAGAAAGCAAATGCAATTTGAAGATTGAAGGGCAAAAAAGATCAGAACCCAGAAATTGTTAGACGCTCTCATTCTGCAGTTCAGATACTGAATATGTTGCACATTACCAGAAGGATCTGGTATAGACAAAAAATGATCAGGGAATATTTCCTTCTGTATAATGATGGGAAAAATATTTGGTAATCCATAAGCATAGGGCCCAGTAATCATGTCTCTGAAATTCCAGCAAATGTTTGGAACAAAATTCTATTGAAATTAATGAACATTACTTGCATACACAGTATTTGGGATTGGGAAGTGGAGCTGCATTTCTAAGCAGGGGTTGGTTCTTTTTGGTCATACTTATAAAATGTGGACATATATATTTGGGCAATTCTTTATCATCGCTGAAAGCATCACAGTCATTCTACTTCAGAATCATTACGGTGCCATGTTGCCCATCCAAAGTTTGAAGAGCTGGGATCAATTTGAGGATGGGGCCTTACTCATTTTCCAATGATGCTGAAGGTTAGAGAATAAAGTAGCAATGAACAAGTGCAGACTAAGGAAGTTGGGAGCTGAAGAAGCCGCTGCTTTTCAAACAGAAAATTTTAACAGGCAAAGATTTTTCAGTCTCTCAACTGAATGTTTTAATTCAGTCACTTCCTGCTCAGAGTTCCCTGATGATTAAAATGAAACATTCTTCTGAAGGATACTGATATATTGCAACATTTTGTGCTGGGTCCCAAATGTTTCCGCTCCATAGTGGGAACTGGTAGGCTGCCGAACTCGTTTGACTTTTGCTTATGGACAAAACAAGTTGCATTAGTAACAAAATATATTAGTCACAACAATTTGGTCTAAACAAATAACGGGGGAGTGGGGCACTCAAATAACCAATGATTTGTTTTTGGAGAAATGGGGATGTCTGCGACCAAGGACTGTTAAGTGCTCTATGAGACCTGCTGAGGCCAAGTCATGAATCATCACAAGTAGCTTGCTAAAACCTGATTAAAAGGTGATACAAATTCTGCTTCAAAAAGAACTTACTTGCTTTGAAAGAGTAGGAAAATTCAGCTCCTTTGTAACTATACAATACAGGGGGTACATTTGACAACCTGTTCAAAGAACCTGACAATTTTCTTAGCATGCACTATTTTCTTGGTCGTCCTTAAACTGAGTCAAAAACCTAAGGAAGGAGGAAAGCCACTGCAGGACAAAAGCCCTCCCTTTCCAATTGTTTAGTTTGGAAAAAGGCAAAAGTGGTAGGGGAACACAGTGAAGTATATAACTCCATGCTTGACTTGTGAAGAGGTTTTCTCCCTTTCCCACAATATAAGGACTACAACTCATCCAATAAAGCTAATTGGAAGATATTTAGATAAAAAAAATTCTTCACACATCATTAATCTGAAAATAAAAAGGGATATGATGCTGATCATTAACTAGGCTGCCTTTAAAAGCAGATTATAAAAAAAAATCATGGGAGAACAAATCCATCAAATTGCAGGAGAACAGTAGCAGAGGAGTACAGTAGTGTGTCTACATCTGTTTTTCAGCACTCAGAGGCATCTGTTTGGCTACTGTGAGGAACCAAATGCTGAACTCGGATGTGCCCTTGGCCTGTTCCAACAGAGTTTATTCTCAGGGTGTTATGTTCTTACAGGGGACACAAAAAGAGAATGGACTAAAACGGGGGTAGGCAACCTTGATTCTTTTATGACTCGAGGACTTCAACTCCCAGAATTCCTGAGCCAGCATGGCTGGCTCAGGAATTCTGGGAGTTGAAGTCCACGAGTCATAAAAGAGCCAAGGTTGCCTACCCCTGGACTAAAATAATGGGGTAGCTCTACACAACCCCTTTGTAACTTTCTCTTAGAATGCCAGATGATTCATTTTTTTAAATCAAGGGTAAGCAACTTTATTTAGCTTGAGGACCAATCCAGGCTTAGCTCAGTACTGGGAAGAATCGGGACCGTGGGTGAAAATGGTGGAGTTTGGATTTCTAAAAGGGTGAAAAAAAACCAAGTCCCACAAATTGGACAATGAGCTCCAGCCGACAAGATTGTGCTGTTTGGAGGATGATCATTGTTGGAATTCAAAACAGCTGCAGGATAACTTATTGGGAAGAGAAAATTAAATCAGGAATTATCTGTGAAAGGTAGGTGGGGAACAACCATCTAGAGCACAATGTTTCCAATCTTTATTCTGTCCCATTGGGCATAATCTGAAAACAATATAGATCTCATCAAATACAAGCTATTGAGACTTTACACCAGGGGTGTCAAACTCAATTTCATTGAGGGCCGCATCAGCATTGTGGTTGCCCTCAGGGGGCCGGGTGGGTGTGGCCAAGGTGGGTGCAGCCTACTGGGTGGGCGTAGATGGAGTGGGTATGGCCTACTGGATGGGCATGGCCAACTCTACATCGTTCGCATCAAGGGTGCCTGTGGGGGCCTGGGCAGAAGTGGGACAGATCTGAGGGTCTCTGGCAGAAGGGGATGGGACCAGGGCAAGCGCCAAGGCATGGTCCATTTCTTCATTCCTCCCAAAGGGTGACACCTCCCCAGCATGCACCCAGGGGGCAGGGCCGACACGGCAGGGGCTGGTTCCTCGCTGTTTCTAGACAGCCTTGTGGAGCTAAGACTGAATGCGTTTCAGCATAGATGGCCACCACAAAATTGTACATTGGCTCCCAGCCGGCCTGGGCCAGGGCCAAGGCAGCGGGGGCCGTTCCCTCACTGTTTCCAGGATGGCTTTGTGGGCCACATGAAACTTCGTGGGCCGCATCCGGCCCCCAGGCCTTGTGTTTGACATGTCTGCTTTACACGGTGCCCATTAGTTGCCATTCTCCCCCCCCTGAAAATATTTCCCATAGTTGTCTTTTTTTCTGGGCATGTTAAAAGCTGGCATATTCCAGAAGCTGGTGAAGTGAAAAAGTCTCCCATCTGGTGCAGCTCCCTGTTTTGGTCCTCGGAGCTTTCTTCAACATCTTCTAAACAACCTTTTTGTTTAGTGACCGAGGTCACAACTGCACTGAAAAAGTCACTGGTGACCGTTTTTCACATGACCATTGCAGCATCCCCATAGTCACGTGACTAAAATTTGGACGCTTGGCAACTGGCTCATACTTATGACGGGTTGCAATGTTCCCGGATCGTGTGATCCCCTTTTGCAACTCTCTGACAAGCAAAGTCAATGGGGAAGCCAGATTCACTTAACACAACCGTGTTATTAACTGCAGTGATTCACTTAACAACTGTGGGCAAGAAATATCGTAAAATGGAGCAAAAGTCACTTAACAAATGTCTCACTTAGCAACAGAAATTTTGGGCTCAATTGGCGTTGTGGGTTGAGGACTCCCTGTATCAAAACAATCTTTCCTACCATTTTGAGGGAGTATCTGAACAGTGAAGTGCAACTTCTAATCCTACACTTAAAAGGAAGAATCTCTTCCAGATGCTCCAGTCCCAAAGCCACAAAAATCTTAGCTTTACCCTTTTATATCCTTGACCTATTCAGATTGTTTCATGCGCCCAACGCTCTCATGCCACCAGAAGATCTGTAACTCTGATCTAGGCCACAATAGTTTTTTAATGGGAGCTGGCAAGATTCTTCACCTTCACCTTCCTGCTACCCTTTCAGGCATAACAGGCATAACAGGAAATTGAAATTTGTCACGCTTTGGAAACACATGAATATTTAAGTATCAAATCCAAAACTCATGTGCACATTTTCAGAAAGGTTTGGAAACAAGAGAAGGCAGGAAATTTGTTTCCTAATTGTACATTTTTCCTGCAGCACCAGTGAGTAGAGTGAATAAAAGAGAATAAAATTGCTCTACGGTGTATTTTGGATTCCTGCCCTGCACCTGACATAAACCATAATATATGAAGTAATCAAAGATGTCCCTTTGGATTTTTTTTTTTTTATTCTCTAGTTTTGGGTAAGAGAGCAGAGTTGGGAGTCTGGATTAAGTAAATGGGCAAATTAATGATTGGCAATGAGAAAATGAGTACTGTATACAAATAAATATTTTATTGCCTAAAAAAATTAAATTTTGAAGGAATCTAGGTCTCTGTTGTTGAAATCTCCTCCTCCTTTTACCATGAAGACACTTGCAGTAAACATGCCTCAGTCACTCTTACTGCAATGCAGCTGCAGTGTTCCCAGTGCAATGGGAAGCCATGGGTGAAGCTAAATGAAAATGTTCCAAGAACAGGACAGGCCAGAACAGCAAATTCTCATGGAAGAGGTTCAGTAAACCTGATGAAAAAACCAGGGCTGGGGCTTAAAACAGTCGTTTGAAAACTTAGACTAAATTTTGCAGCCTGCAGAGAAGGCTAAACCATTTTTTACCCTAATTTGTGATGATTATTTAGAGCTCCAGAGCTATTCAGATATATTATGGCATCCAAATGGCAATCAATACAGCAATGGAGTGGTGCTTAGAACAGGAGATTGCACCAGCTATTTTTTATTTTTTGTCTTATCTGCTAAAGTGGCCTCAATAAACTACGATCTTGTGCTGGCAGCAGTAACTTCAGTAGGTTCAGAAAAAGGTATATTGTGCAGAATTATCAAGAAATGGAGGAAACAGTTGTAATAAATTATGGCCTAGAGACAGGACAACGGTGGCGATTTCATTGCATGCATGAGAACAAGAAGGCAGCTTTTAAGAAAACAGTTTAAGAGGAAATACATAAAAAGGTGGACACACACATATATTACCTGAATTTAAACCCCAAGGATACTGCTTAATAAATCTAACTCTGCACCTTTACTAGATTAATCAATTTACTAATTTCTACCACTCTTTTTTGGGGGCAAAACAAAATGAGCACTCCCAGGATGGCTGTTCATCTTCAGGTGTTGACAATAAAACAAAAAAGGTATTGTATTGATTAAGACTGAAGCTACCATAGACATCCAGGCGGAAGATCTACACAGTGCATAAAGCACTACCAAGATGTAAATGGCATTCAAGAGTCAGCCTGATCATAGTGTTTAAGGCAGAGGTCCCCAACCTTTTGGTACCAGGGACTGGTTAGGTGGAGAAAGTTTTTTCTGCGGACTGGAGGGGGCATGGTTTTGTATGCTCCCTGCATCCTGCAGATAGGGCTTTGCTTGTTTGTGCAGCCCAGTTGCTGGCATGCCACAGCCCGGTATTAGGCCACGAACCAGGAGTTGGGGACCTCTGGTTTAAGGCATAAGCCTAGAGATCATGTCCTAGTCCTGCCTTAGACGTGAAACCAGCTGGATAACCTTGGACTAGTCACTATCTCTTAAGACCTAAGAAGGAGACAATAGCAAATCATTTCTGAAATCTTGCCAAGAAAACTGCAGGGACTTGTCCAATCACCAGGAATCAACACTGACTCAAAGACAAAAAAGAAGAAAGAAAGAAAGAAAGAAAGAAAGAAAGAAAGAAAGAAAGAAAGAAAGAAAGAAAGAAAGAAAGAAAGAAAGAAAAGAAAAGAAAGAAAGAAAAGAAAAGAAAAGATGTGTTAATTGTGCATTCCCATCTGATCAGTTAATAAAATACCAAAACATTAAAATCCAAGTGGATTTTATGTTGGATGCGCTGTCAGCCAATAAGACCGTGGCCTCTTTATAGTGGAAGGGATCATGCATGCCTTAAATTGGGGTTTTCTAACTGTGAGTCACGAGTCTTTGTGGGATTGTGAGCAGTTAACAAAGGCAGAGGCCTGTCACATTGCTTTCAGCCACCACAAATTGGCTCTAGCTCAGGGGTCTTCAAACTTGGCCCTTTTATGACTTGTGGACTTCAACTTCAACTTCACAGCCAACTGTGCTGGCTCAGGAATTCTGGGAGTTGAAGTCCACAAGTCATAAAAGGGCCAGGTTTGAAGACCCTGCTAGTCTAGCTCATGTACTACAGCTTTCCACTCGATCCCAAAATTTCTTGTCAGAAATAGCTACCATCCATTCTGTGAGGTTAACTTGAATGGAGTACCTAGTGTTGAAGTTGGACACTGCATTTTGCAGAATACATTGTGGCCAGCAGCAAAGGCATCTGTGTTGAATAAGAGTTCAGGGTTTTCAGTTTCATTTTCTCCTGGATTTTACTCTTCATGCTGGTGGAAGAGTGAAAGTGTTGGAGAGAAGAAGGTGTCAGTGGAAGTGAACAGTATTATTGTTATTTCTTGTTATTTATCACAAGGGGTTAATAGAGTTTATCATTTTAAACTGCGTGGTGTTGGAAAGTTTGAGAATATTTCCCTTAAAGGATTAGGACCACACCTTCCAAATTTTTTCGTATTTACCTCTGCTTTTAGATACAATTCTTTTTTTTTTAGAAACTTTTATTGGTTTTTTTAGTTTTACATTTAAATATTTGAAAAGCAACGTGGCAGCTGAGTTGGTCAATAACATACAAATGTCTTTAGTACAGGTCTCTAACTATTACATTAAATATTTCCTCTCTTTTCCCCTTGATATTTACTGTCTCATATTTGAATTAGTACAATTCTTATTATATCGATTAAATAAAAATAACTTTCTTTTTAGTTTATACATATCCTAGTTGTTTTAACATTCAATCTTTTTGGTCAATCAATGTCCTGATTAGTTTTTCCCAATTTTTAGTTTCCCCTTCATATTTAAATTTAATGTTTAATATTTATAATTTCCAAGTTTTAAATAACCCCAATTCCCTTTACAACAATTCTTAGGAGTGCTTTTTAAAATTGAATATAGTCTACCTCTTACACACCCTTCTGGGGTTTTTTTAATCACTTGTCACAGGGTTTTCTCTTCAGACTAAAGAAATACATTCAAATAGTGAGTTTCCTTTGAGGAGCACTTGGAGATGCTTATCATAGATCAGTGGTGGCGAACCTATGGCACGGGTGCCAGAGGCGGCACTCAGAGCCCTCTCTGTGGGCACGTGCGCCGTCGCCCCAGTCCTAGGCCTTCAGCTGGGTTTTATAAAACCTTTTCGCTTTAGGCCTCCGCCGCCGTGTACAAAAAAAAAAAGGTTCAGTCAATCAGTCAATTTCAACTTCTCATGGGAAAAAAAAGATCTTGCAAAGTTGGAATTGATTGATTGAACTTTTTAGTCCCACCAAGTCTGCCGTTCTCACCGCAGCCATGCCCACCCAATGGGCCACACCCACCCGGCACCCGATGATGCATAAG